GATATTTTCACATCTAAAGCCTTTTAGTTCTGTCTAAGGGTTCTTTCTGATCTCAAGTTTTTAAAGTCATTCTCTTCATTGAATATAGTTAACGTGTTAAGCATCAGTTAAGGTACTTCTTACAAGCATTTTAGTAGGCTAGCAAAAGCTTTATAGCACGAAACACATCTGATTCGTGCCGAGAAAGTCAACTGCCACACGCTCTTCTTTATGATTTATGTTGTCAAGTTCTTTAATACGGCACTACGTTAGTTTACAATATCACCGCAGACTTTTAATTTTATATAATGCTTAAGAGAAGTATACCCTGTTTCCCACAGCTTCTAACATCACTTAAGCACCTTTATGGGCTTATGTTCCGAGTATAATACTTCTACAAGTATGATATAAGACTTTATTGCCTTAATCGTTATTTTTAACAGCTTCTCTCCTGACATGCACAGTAAGCGTTGATATTACAAGTCCCGCTAGTCCACGTAAGGAATCTAGCTAACTGGGAAAAGTGTTTAACCCTTTAGAAGTCTTCTGTAATTTATACCGTCAATCTTGTATACTAGGTATACATGACTACGTAACTTCTGAGCAGTTAGATGTTGACTTAGTCATTACAGACGTCGAGGCCTATATAATCTCTATGTTTTTACAGATGAAGTATAGTAGACAGTTAGTAGCTGCACTTTGTTAGAGAAGCTTAAAGTAAAACCTTTAACATTAGTCATCATTATTGTATACCTTGATCTACCTTACCTGTCTTTAGAGGAATTTAAAACACTATCTGAAGTGTGGACATATTATTTGCGACGATTGCCTTGTTGCCTTTAGTAAGTTAACGACAGGGGCAGAGTACTAGTACGACCTTGCTACTTGTCTTTTTTATTAAAAGGGGATTCTTTTTTAGGGCAAACTCTTGCCTTTTACTTGTCAAGTAAGATTCTTTAGCATTAATAGTGGCAGTTTTAAAGGTATTATCTCTTTGGCATTTATAAAAGAGCTGGAAAAGACGCTAGACCTGTTATATCCTTTGTAAGAGCACTTTAATTATAGTATCAAGACGAGTTCAGGTAAGGCTGGCTTTATAACCTAACTTTAGGCTAACAACTAATAAGTGGTGTTACAACCATTAGGTTCTTTGTAAAGTACTGGACTTTAAAGCAATACCTCGCTTTTTTCTTAAGTTTGCAAGGATTATCTTCCCACTAAAGCGCGGCTGTAAGTATTTAATCTGTGCTATACTCAGACGTATCTTTGCCTTTTATCTCGTAGATGGCCGGTACGACGCAGTCGTTTTAAAAAAAGCTCTAAAAGAAACATTAAGATTAGGTCGGGTATCTGAATCGGCAAAATCATGGCTGTCTGGAATGAAATTTGCCGTTACGGCGACGATAATATCAGATGCTACGTTATGCCTGATCTTTAACTATTATAGCAACAGCCTTCTTAGCAGTAATTTAAGTATGTTAACATCCCTTACACTTTATTAATACTAATACTCTAGGATATAAACACTTTTGTGTTAAAAAGACAACAGATAAGATACTACTCTAGAAAGCGTAGGTTTCTTTAGTTGCTTATGTTATGCTTGCTAACAATAGACAGCGTGAGGTGTACAACAGCTGCTTTAATGTAAGTGTTACATTTCACAATTAAAGACTGATACTAACTAGGCTAGTTACTTTACGCTAAAGTATCTTAAGTTATTTAGTACGTTTTAAGACGGCAGGTTAAAATATAATAACCCTGTCTAGCCTAGCCTGTGTGAAGTTCGCTAGATTTAAGGTGATGTAAGTTGCGACTTAGTGCTTTTAATTAAGACAGGATATTAGCAAAAGCTTGTATCGTCAGTAGCTTTTAATGTTTAGAACCTGCTATAAGATAGCGCCTTAGCTTGTGTCTATCGAGCTTTTATACAGTCGTTATCACTTAACAGCTAACTTAGCTGGGAAGATTACTGGCATGACTTTGATAAGGAAGAAAAGAAACGGCACTTTTAGCTTAATTTGCCTTTTACAGGTCAGGAACCTTAGATTGACAATGTCGACAAGATGTAATATCTTTGTGATCAGATTTACTATCACTTAAGTGATATAGAGGGTATTACTAGGGCATTTAAAGTAGCGTCCTTCTTTTTTGAGCTTAACAGGCCTCTGGTGTTTGAGGGTAGGTACTATACATGCTACGGTTTGATCTTATCTTAAAGCCCGGACAGTTGTGCTTTTGTGTAGAGTCTCAGAACGAGCTACCCTTTTGTATAGTTTTTACATTAAGAATCTTCACTTAGGTTCTTAGCCTTAAACAATCTCTGCGAGTTGTGTGGACGATTTTAAAAGCTGATCAAGTTTTATATATGTCATCCCTTAGATTAAGTTAACATTTAATTTTCGTTTAACAGATTGTTCTGTTAAAGTATCAGTAAGTGCCTACAGTCAATAGAATAGTTCGTCAAACAGTAAAGATTAAATGTAAAGTTTAGAATGCCTGACTATAAAAGCAAAAACAAGTAAGCTCAAAATCTGACTTATAGTTGTAAGCTTATGTATTATCTTGACAGATCTGTCAAGCTTTTAAAAAATAAACGGGCCCTTAGCGTTTAAACGAGAACACAAAATAAAAGGCAGCGCTTACAATAAAGGGAAGCCAATACAGTAAATCTCATCTTTAAAAGCTAGACACAAATCAATCAATTCTTTATTACTCGACTCTATTACATAATGAGTTTTTCGCTTTATCCTATTCCGTAAACATAAACAAAAATAGTCTCTATCTGCCTAACTGCCCTAGCAAGCCTTAAAACTAACCACACAAAACAAACAACAAACACAGATCCTGGGTTTGTCTAGCTATTAAACTCTCTAAACTTACACAGTATAACTGCCTTATTTTTTGATGTCAAAAGATATCAATCCTAGTATCTTATCTTAAACATAGCATAATCTCTGTACAATATAAAAAAAGCCAGGTTCTTTATCTGAACCTGTAAATAGTTCTTAAAGAGTTAGATAGACTTTACGTAAGTAACGTTCAAGCATTGTGAAAGTATCTAGGTCTTATGTTAGAAACAAACTGATAAACATTAAAACTTCTTTTAAGTCATGAATTTGTTTAAAATAAAGCTATACAGTACTGAAGTAATGCTTCTTTAGCAACTTTTTGTGCAAAGTAAGGAAAACTGTACTAAAAGATGTAAAGCGTGACTTGTAAGCTTTTAAGAACCTTACTATCGTTAAGAAAATATAGCCTTTACTATTCTAGACTTATCATACCACAGCTTTATGTGTTTTAAGACTAAGTCTTGTAACTATCTTGAAAGCTATTACTAGACTAAGCTGAAGACTTTCTAGAACTTTGTTTAAAATTCCTGCGTCTGCCTTTATTTGTTTAAATTTGCTTTAGGACAGAGAAATCGCTATTTAAGTGAGATAGTACGATAACGTTACAACATTATAGATAATGGCAGTAAGCAGTAACTTTAGCCATACTGTCTGTAGTCGTCGATAGGCGCTAGATGTATTCCTGACTGCCTTTATTACTAATAGTACTTGTGTGAGCTTTCTTTAATGTCGCCTTACTGTGTTTGTAAAATGATAGACCTGCTTGTAAAAGCTAAAGTAACAGTAAGGAGTTCTTTTAGTAATCTATATGTTAATGTTATCTAAAATTCTAAATAAAGATCTGTAGCAATATACAAGAGAGTTGATATGCTTAATCAAAGAGTTATATGCTAGAGGAGATCTATCTACAGGAAAGAATTTGTAGTTGTGTTGGCAACTCTCTGTAGATGAAGTCTGATTTATAATAGAAAAGAGAGGAGTGTAGTATAAAGAAGAAATGTGAAGTAATGAGAAGAAGATAGCTAACAGAGAGAGGGAAGCTTGTTTATTTATATCTTAAGAGCTTATAGGAGCTAAAGGCTTAAACTGCCTGTATAGCTAAAGATATTAACCTAGCTTACTATTCAAACTATGTTTAATGTAGTATAGTAAGTGTCTTGACTAGCTCCTTAAGGGTTTAACGTTACACTTTTAGCAAGATACTTTGAAGTAAAGCTAGTATCTTTAAGAACTTCCTTCCTTCTGACTAGTTTACTGTTTTAAATATGCTAGCCTGTCTTTATTGTAAAGAATAGCTGAAAATAAAGGAGCTTCCTTTACAGATACAAGAAGTAAAAGTTACCCTGAGATTTCCTAAAACATAAATAGCAAGTGGGTGTTGATCGATCTTAACAGTTCTAAGCCATCTTACCAGAACATAACATCTCCTTCAGTACAAACTACTGATTGTAGTCTAGGTAGGTATGGCGACTGTATAAGGTCGCAGAAGCGGAGTTATCAAAATGATAAACACTCACCCAAAATAGCAAGGCAGACTTGCCAGCGATGACTATGAGGGATCGAAATTAAAGAGGAGCTGGTGGAAAGTTTTACTCCCGTCCACCAGTCATCCTCTTTCCCATCCCAAGTCATTGTCCTGCAAGATGAGCTCCAATCTTCGGACCAAAACAATGGCCACGACAAATGAACACACTCTCTCTGTGAGTTGAAATACCAAGTGAACTGAACCATGTACCGATAGCGAGAAAGACTGCAGCTCAAGGTACGAAGGCAGTTTCGGAGAAAGACAACACCTAAAAGCGGCCGAAACGGCAGTTCATCATCAAATATCCATGTCACATGTGTGTAGACCTGGAACTGATCGCAGGCACAGAACCAAAGGAAACACCACGCCAACTTCTTCACTCGGCACTGAGCAAGCTCTTGAGCCAGTAGGTCATATGTGCATTCAACTGATACCTGACACTTCTGAACTAACACAGGTTAGTATGCACCCATAACAGCGCCTTGCGCCTCACTGATTAGTCTCACAGGACTTATGCTGTATCTCGAGCGTAGAACTGAGTCCCCAGTTCTACGGCCCAAGCCACATTGTACAGTACGAAGTTGACGTATCCAGTCAGATGCAAAGGGTTGGAGGAATGCATTTCTAGGGAAGAGATTGCAAGAACAATGCTACGAAACAAAAATGGCTACCTGCCAGAAGTGTCAGCAGTGACGGCAGTCTGGCAATCTACGAAAATGGTCGAGTTTCGGGGGGGAACCCCTGCAAGAGGTTGCGTCGAGGATGTAACGGAGGCGGAGGTTGAGCTGGATCCAGGGGAATCGGAACAAGAAGAAGACCTGAGTAAGCTAAGAGGGGTTTGTCTTCTCAAAATTCAAGCTTTTAGGCAGATCTATCCTAGCTTAGAGCTCTCTTTGATTTTAATAACATAAAGTTTCTGTCATTTTCCTTATGCTACCTTTACTTGTTAATGTTTTAAAGTAAGGCAAGCTCTCTATAAGCTACGTGTCTAAGCCTAAGCAGCCCTTTAATACGTAAGCTAGTCATAAGATACACTAGTGCTTAAGTAGTGTAAGACTATCTAGATTCTGAGGGTCTGACCACTTGTACCAACAACTTGTTCGCACTAATCACATACTGGTACCAACAAATCGTTAGTACCAAGAATTGAATGGTACCAATAATCTGTTGGTACCATAAATTAAATAGTACCAATAAGTCCTTGGTACCAATAATTTATTAGTACCATAAATTAAATGGTGCTAATGAGTCTTTAGTACCAATAATTTATTAGTACTATAAATTAAATGGTACCAATGAGTCTTTAGTACTAATAATCTGTTAGTACTATAAGTTAAATAGTACCAGTAAGTCGTTAGTACTAATAATCTGTTAGTACTATATGTCAAATCGTACCAGCAAGTTGTTAGTACTAATAATCTGTTGGTACCATAGATCAAATTGTACCAGCAAGCCGTTGGTACTAATAAGCTTTTGGTACTATAAATTAAGTTGTACCAGCAAGTCATTAGTACTAATAATCTTTTAGTACCATAAATTGAACAGTACCAGTAATATGAGGTGAAACAGCTATAGCGTCTTCACCGCTCGACTCCGTCACCTTGCTCATCCTTTACTCTCCTCCCCTCTTACCTCCTCTCTCGTACAGCGATATCGTCATTGTCAGCCAGCAGCCAGCACCACCAACCTAACCCAGTCTAACATCCTCCTCCCAGCCACCGACCCCCGCTCTCATGAAAAACTCTTTACATTTCTTGTTTCAACGTTTTCCATATCGACCATCATCCAGATCAGTAAAAAGACGAAGTGTCAAGTGACCGGCCAGGTCCTCACAGCAATCCCCTGTCTTTCCACCCTTTTGGAAGGCATACACTGGTGATAAGGCTATATATCTGGTCTAAAGTACTGCCACTACCTAAGATTCTTGACTTTGAATCTTAAAACGACTGAGTCGGGACACTAAAGAGCTCACATTAGCCTTTTAGTCCCTAATATTAATAAAGAGTCGCAAACCCTCTTCCTCCTAGAAGGTTAACCTACTTGTTTTAACCTTAAATGTCAGAACATAACAGCTAAAGTAGTTTGAGACTTCAACACTACAATTGACACAATATACGCACTTTACTATACTTAACTTAAGCAACGTAGATGATTAGTTTACAAATTGCGTAAAGAGGTGGGTTGATTTAAGGTTTAAAGTAATCATAACAACTGTAAGTTCTCTTTAGTTATTTAGTAGAAATCTTCTTATTTAAGAAATCTAAGCTATATGTTAACCGCTAGTAACTAATAGAGAAACTGTATCTGAATTAAAAGTCTTTAAACTTAAACTTTCAATAATATCCTAACTTGTATAGTAAATAAATAGAATTATAACAGTTAGCGATATATACGTTAAAAAGCGATGCTAAAACAAAATTAGTAAGTAGAGTTAAGGCAACAAAAAGACCTCTTACTTTCTGAACCTCTTGTAATGTTCCCTAAAAAGTGACCTTTAAAAAGTTTAATGCCTTTAGCGACTATCAGTCAGGGTGTTTTAAGACAAACTTCCTATCCTCTTTAAGAGAAATGCCATTTTGTATCATTTTAATAGCGATAACTTTAAGAGAACGTGTTGTAACAGATTCTGTGGTCTTACATTCATTAAAGTAGGCTTAAGTATTATTTATTAGACTTAGTGTAAATACTGTGATCTTAAGAAACGTACCTATCTTTACACACTTATCTAGTAAGAATAATACCTTAAAGCTATCAAGTTTGTTATAAGATATACTAAATCTAAATAAGTACTACATGCCTTTAAAGACTTAAGTACTTTAGTAGGTGAGTTTTTAAAAACATACGACAACGTACCTGACAACAAGTCGCAGACACATATAACTCTTTAAGAGGTAGTAAAATAGCGATCACTTGCTTAAAAGTAACAGTTGTATAGTCTGTAATGACGAAAAAAACGCCTTAAAAGTAATAAACCTTTAAGATTGTAAGTAAATTCTTATGCTAGCATTTTCTCAGCTTTATAAAGCTATCGGACAGAAGCTTTTTAATGACGACTACACACACTAAAACCTTTTAAGTATATGTTACTATGACTTAGCTGTTACGTTTAAGATGACAAAAAGATATGTATAGGTTTTACAGACTTTTTAGTCAAACAAAAGGAAGCTGAACTACTTTAGAGGTCTTAATGTTTGTTTTTAGCGTAGGGTTCTTTAAAACTACATCAGGAAGATTAACTCTTATTAGCAGTCAAAATAAGAGTTAAGTGGGTTGTTCTCTCTTTAGAGAAGATTCAATTCACTACTCTTCTTTCTCTAATAGACAGATGCTTTTAATATCTTTACCTCTTAAGAATCAGGTATGTCAGCTAAGGTTAGATCTCTTACTTACATTAGTTTCTGCTAACAGACTTTAGTCATTATATAAAAACTGTGTCTTTTGATTAAACTTTAGATCTATAGTTAATAGCGTTGTTAAAGTGTACTGTAGGCACTTTACAGTATGTATTTAAGTAGTGAGTACTTTTGCTTAACTTTAACGCTTTATAACTATTATATCACCTCGCTTAACTGCCGTTAACTACTACCCCTTTATATATAAAGGCTGAATTATTACACTACCTTGCGTAATTTTGACTACCTTATGCTCGCTAAATACAAAGGGTTGGTATTACTTAAGAAGTGACATACATTTATCACAAATGATAAAAAAAGGGAATGCTACTATAAATCCCTTAGTTGTCGCCATTACAGCTGCAGCACTGTTTTTTTACCTGCCTTGCAGTATCCAAATCCACTGTCAAGTGTTGCCAACCTGACATAAAAACCTTAAGTGTGAAAAGTCTTGCTGTTATAAAGTAGAGAATTGTAAGAGATAAGCTTGTCAAGTTTAAGGGCGTAGCTTGAGTATTGATTTAACATCTGGAATTTTCACACTTAACTTGTTAGATCAATAAGAAGGCTATTTAGCAGTTAATAAGGGAATTTAATAGTGAAGGATGTATTCAAGAGAAAGCGAGTCATCGTATTTCTGTCGTTATCGATAACTTGATATTGTAGGCTACACTTAAGAGGCTTTCTTTAACAGTTGAAACTTTTAGATTGAAAGTGAACTACCTACCTTTCTTAAAACTAGGAAGCAGAGTGAAACTAAAGTGTCTTTATAAACAACACCGAGTTTTAACAGTAAAGGAGCATCTTGTCGTATCGTAATTGTAGTAAGTAGTTGACATCTATAAGACTAGTAACTGTACTTATTTTAACAAGTAACCAAGCTGACTAGTGCCTAGATCTTAACAAAAATACTAAGCAAGCGTTTTACAAGGGTTATTCTTACTTAGCAAAATACACATCTAGTAAGTTGTTTTGTTACATATGCCTTTACTATTACGATAATGATCCTTTAAAAGTATAATATTAGCAGGGAAGGTTTAACTCTTCTTAAGACACGTTTTTAAAGCAGCTTCTTAAGCGGCTTATACTAGTTAAGGCTTTAGATTTTATTCTTTATATTTAAAGTGTCTAGAGAGATTTTTATATCAGATCTCTTGACGTTATCTTATTTTTAAAGTGTGACAAAGTCAGTTTTGTCAATCTTTACAATGTTTAGTCTAACTTAGTTTAAGAAATTACTTATTACATTAACTTTATTAAAGTTATTTTAGCCTGTATTTTTAACGGCGATATGATAATAATGATGCGTACTGATCTTATAATAATAAAATCTATACAGTTAAGGTGTCTTGCACTTTTAAAGTCAGACTATAACTTTATTAAAGAGAACATGGGGTCTGGCGAGCTTTTTCCAGAGTTTATCGATCTTGTAAAAAGAGCTAATATCACTTAAAATCTACTTACTAGTAAAGAGTTGATACCAAGTCTCTATACGTTAATCAAAGACATCAAGTACTTAAAGCAGCTAGTTACACACTTGTCCAGACTCTTACTTGCGTTTTGTAAGAAAAGTCTTTACTAGTAGTAGTTTTATATTTTCACTAGCACTAAGTCAAGTAGTAGTAGGGTTGTAATACAACAGTAAGTGTTAGGTCTGTACATAACTGTCTCAAGTGGAGGTCTGCATTTATTTGATGTCTGTTATCAGCAGCTGTGGCTTTACTCTTACAGGGTATGTAAATACTTAAATGTGTATGGCTGGCTGTAGTTAGCGAAGCTTACTTACCGGTTAAGATTTTCAACTTTAAAGATTAAGTTTAAATTAACTTAAGACCTTACGCAAGCTGTAATTAAGAACGCACTTTAAGACGTCTTTCACACCTTACAGCTAAACAAAAAGTTCAACTTTAATGCTAACAAAGCAAACCTTGTTGTAGCCTTATTTAAAGAATATATTAACAGCCAAAAGTCAATAAACACAAAGTCGACATTCCCCTTAATTACCGTCACTAAAAAAGACGCTTTGTTATCTTGTAAATGTGGCTATAGTAAAATAGATACTTGAGATCTCACACACTTTTTTCTAGACAAAATACACGCTCCCTTATTTAAATATAAGAAAGACAGAGATGAAATTAGTTCATTTTATGTTAAGTGTTCACGACATATTGCGTTTTTTAGTACAATAGACTTTATAAAAAATCAAAAAGGTCCTTTAACGTATTTAGTGTCTACTCCTTTATCTTTAAATCGCCGACAACCAGACGTATCTTAACTTACCGTCTAAATGACTAATTTTATTCCTTTTATAAGTTGTCAAGTTTGTAGCCTAGATAAAGGGATTAAAAGCAACTAAGTTGTTTTATTCTAGGAACAGGCAGTTAGATTTATAGAAAAGAGTGTCATTCTTTAAAAAGTTCTATTTAAAAAGGAAGATGTTAACAGCCAGGCTAAGAAGTACACAGATTAAGGCAGAAAATTGTCAGTAGAACAAGGCTTATACTTCACTTAAAAGGACTGTTTTAATATACTCACAAAAACAAAAAGATCGACTATCATTGTAGCTACAGTTGTTAAGTTACTGGCAGGGAAGAGACGCCAGGGTGCAGACTTACCTAAACGGTTACAGCCTGTAATAAAGGAGACTTTTGACTTTAAGATAAACAAGGATGAGGACAAGGAGGAGGAGTTGTAATCTAGTCATGAAATAACACTAAACTCTCTGCTAGCTCGCTATAAAAGAGTGACAGGACTAATA